CATTTGATAAAGTTATGATAGAAGAGGATGATGGTATCAAAAGAAGATATGGAAAATGGCATTGGTGTGAAAAACTACTAAAGGCGGATGTGGAAAGAAACGGGGCTTCTAGTTTACTCAAACACGTAGGTAGGTGTCAAAAAAACCCGGATAAGCTACAAGATCAAACTCAAACCAAATTGAATCTAAAGAAGGAGTCAAACGGGGAGACTAGTGTTAAAACATGGAAACACGACGACGCTAGGATCAAAAAAGCATTACTAAACCTTTTTGTGGTAGGCGAACTGCCTTTTAAGTTCGTTGAAAACGAGGCTTTTGTGGAATACACCAACGCACTTAATGCTAAGGTTGTGTTTCCATCTAGACATACGATATCCCGGAATGTTTCCAAGTTTTACATAGAAGAAAGAAGCAAAATGCTTCAATTTTTAAGTAACCCAAACACCGCTATACATTTGACAACGGACACTTGGACATCTTCTTGTCAAAGGACTACTTACATGGTGGTCACGACTCACTTCATAGATGAGAATTGGATAATGCACAAAAGAATTATAAACTTTAGAGAGATAGAAAGCCATAAGGGAGAGGATATGGGCTGAGAATTACTCAATTGTATTTGCGGATGGGAAATACAAGGCAATTGACTTTTTGGTAAAAAAATTGCCCAATCTTTACGATGGTGGAAAGCATTTCCAAGTTAGGTGTATGACCCACGTTTTAAACCTTATCGTAAAGGATGGACTAAAATACCAAAACTATCATGTTGAGTGTATCCAAAAGGCGGTACGGTATATTAGATTGTCACCACAAAGAATAAACAAGTTCAAGAAGGCGATGAAAGATTGTGGCTTACAAACGAAGAAGTTTCTATGTGGTGACACCCCTACCCGATGGAACTCGACTTTCGAGTTATTGAAGTCCGCATACCAGTTACGAGAGGCATTTATGGAATTTGGAGTAAGAGGTAATATTTATTTTTAAGTTATATTTCAGTTTTTCAGCAACATTTAAAATTTTTTGTAATCTGTGGGTTTTTTAAACAACTATAACTCATTCGTTTTAAGTCGGATTGACCTGCGGTTTTTTCCAACATTTAGTTTACAATTTGTAGATGAATTTAGACTATAATTTTGTTGATTTTGGTATTATATTCGAATAATTTAAGCATTTCAGCATCATTTTAATAATTTTGTAATCTGTGGAATTTTTTAAACATCCATAACTCATCCGCTTTAAGTCAGATTGATACGCGGTTTTTTCCAACGTTTAATTCACAGTTTGTAGATGAATTTAGACTATAATTTTGTTGATTTTGGTATTATATTCAATGAGTTATAGTCTTTCAAAGTTGAGCTATCAAAACTGAATAATTTCAGCATTTCAACAACATTTTAAGAATTTGGTAATCTGTGGAATTTTTTAAAGAACCATAACTCATTCGTTTTAAGTCGGATTGACACGCGGTTTTCTCCAATGTTTAATTCACAGTTTGTAGATGAATTTAGACTATAATTTTGTTGATTTTGATATTATATTCAGTGAGTTACAATCCTTCAAAGTTGAGCTATCAAAGCTGAAATATTTCAGCTTTTTAGATATTATTTTAGACTATAATTCTGAATTTTATGTATCTTTGACAGATAAATCATATGAAAGGGATCTCAGTAGAGTACCGGAAAATTATGACTTTGAAGTTATAACTGAAATGGTGAAGTTCTTTGAAAAATTCAAGACAAAAACCGAGCTTGTTTCGGCTACATCAAAACCTTTGGTAAATCTTTTTATCTGGGAAGTCTTAGATGTGGACATACATTTAAGAAACTGGTCAACCAAACCAATGTTTCTCGAAATGGTAAAAGACGTGAAGACGAAATACGACAAGTATTGGGGTACATACAACAAGATGAACGATTTTATGTACTTTGTGGTTTTACTTGATCCTACCACCAAATCAACTTTTTTGTTACATGCTTTTAAAAAAATGATCGGGTACATGGAAGTGATGGAACCGCCATTGACCCCCGCGGACATAGACATAAAAGCACGTCAAATGGTCCGAGAGATTGAGAATAGGATGGAGAATTTATTTATGACCTACTTGAAACGATTTGAAAATGGTGGATTATCTCAACAAGAAGCGAGTCAAAAAGTTATTGATGTTGATGATGATAACAATTTTTTCGGTGATTTTCTTTGTACGGTAGATGTAGCAACTCGGATCCAATAGATAACAAGTTTCGAACTTATTTGAAAGAGAATATAGTTAATTATAAAAAAGATTTTTCAATTCTCGGGTGGTGGAGACTAAACGCGATTAGGTTCCCGACAGTTGCTCGGATGGAGAAAGGTGATTACTTTTTTTTAGTCTTTCATAGTTTCTTTATAAATTAATGTTGTTACAATTTAATTCTTTTTTGTTAGACATATTGGCGATACAAATCTCAAGTGTGGCGTCCGAGTCCGCGTTTAGCACATGTGGTAGAGTTGTAAGTGAGTATTAGACTAGTTTATCGACTTTGAGAGTTGAAGCTTTGTTATGCACCCAAGATTGGGTGAGAAAGTCTACAAATCCAATAATTGACAATGTTGATGACATCTTGAACGATGATGATATAGCTTTGGGTAAAAAATTACAATCTTTGTTCTTTTTTTATACAATTATTACTTTTTATTAAATACTAACAACATTTTCATTTGTGTTTATGTAGAGATTGCACAAGCTTTGAACATATTAGATATAGATGACAATGATATGGGGAAGAGGCCAATGCAAGATTAGATTATGAGTTTATGAAGTTTGTTAGTTTGATTGATTTTAAAGTTTAAACTATGATTTTTGGTGTTACGGTAATACTTTTGTATGTTTGTCTTATGATTGTTAACTTTTGTTGGTAAACTTGATTTATATGTTAGTTGCTTTTATTTGGAAAATTAATTTTGCAAGTTATGCATGAAACGGAAACGTAATCATTCTATCTAGTTGTATCGTATCAAACTCAACAACATATTTGTTTTAACGAGTTCTATGAAACCCAAAACCTTATTTTAATGATTTGTACTCTATGCAAGTAAAGTTGTACCGGTCCAAACGGGTCCAAGAACCGGAAAACCCGGACCTGGACCCGGACACGGACACGGACACGACTCATTCGGTCCGGTCCACGGTCCACAAAATTCTCCATAACTGGTCCGGTTCGGTCCAAATGTTCACCCCTAACTTAAAGGGCATCTTCACCGGAAAATTGACCTTCCAAATCGTCGACTGGTTCCACGTTAAGATCGATGCGGTCGACGTTCCAAATATGTTCCGTCGAGTCCCTACAAGAACATGATGCATCTCAACATCATGAACTATTGCCCTCCTCGACGGGTACTCCGCGCTTCCAACCTCAAAAGCTTGTGTCGGTGGAACGATCTCGTTTTCGTTATACTCACATATTGCATTTCCTTTGTCTTCGAGAATTATATTAAGCAATATGATACAAGTATACATCACCTCACTCATTTTCTTCTCCTCCGTATAAGACGCGGGGTATTTAAGAATATGTCAACGTTTTTTCAAAGCTCCAAATACTCGTTCAACATCCTTTCTCGCCTTCTCTTGAGCTCTCTTAAACTTCAACTTTTTGCGATCATTTGGACAAGACAATGACTTCTCAAAACAGAGCACGCTCCGGATAGATCCCATCCACAAGATAATACTCGTTCCTATACGATGTTCCAGCTACTTGAAAGGATGAGTCGGCGCAGTCCCATTATACATGTCGTCAAGTAATGGAGACATTTTAAGAACATTAATGTCATTGAGGGAGCCAGCTGAGCCAAAGAATGCATGTCATATCCACATATCATGTGAGGCCACCGCTTCAAGTATAACAGTTGGACACGTTGCCGTGACGTCATTGATGATACGCAAAAACAGAGATTTATGCATACGGAACCGGCGACGAGAATAATATCATATAAACGTGGCGTCATCCACAAAGTAATCTTCCATTAGTCGTTCATTAGTTGCCTCACGGAATCTTTGTATGTATATTCTCTTCCTCCGGCGTGCATTCTTCGCATTTTCTTGTTGTAGTTGATCGATCATCTATTATGTCTCCTGAATGACATCTATGGTCGTTTCAAGCAAGACATCAAACATGCCCGATGAAGATGACGAATACGACATTTTAAAAGAGTGTATTTGAGTTGTAAATTGATTTTGATGAGTTAAAATAATTAAGGGTTATAGTATATAACTATTTATAGGAGGTTTTTTAAAATAAAAATAAATAAATAAATAAATAAAGTAAATGGAAGTGGCCAACCACCCCATTGGTCCACTCTGCATAGTCAAACTCGGCATTTATTCACCGAGATACCTAGCCGAACTTGGCAAACCGAGGGGTCGGCCCGTGTGCGCCGAATCGCCGAGCTTCTCGCCGGAACCATACCGTCCAGGCTAAGATATTAAGATATGGTGAATACATCGGGAATTTCAATAGATTGTGATGAGGTGTGAAGCATGGACACGTAATAAAACAGGCTTCTAGACTGTCTCTTTCTTGGATGTGTCGGTTGGAAGTGGCGGTGCATAGGAATCCATCAGCTGCAATTTTCTCATGGCGGAAACCGATATATCTGGAGTTTTATATTTCTAATTTTTAACGTCCAGGAATATTTTTCCTTACATAAGAAGAAAAAAGAATATCAACATTATCTCGGATTGTGCGATGGAATATATCGAAGCTTCGAAACTTTGATGAGGCGTAAAAAATGGCCACGTAATCAGGCAGGCTCCTTCACCGCGTTCTATTCGATGAAAGAAGCGGTACGTACAGTCGAACACCTGCTACCATCGAAGGCAAAGACACAGCTAGTGACAGTTTGATTTTTAGCCCTGATTTTACTCAGGCATGACGTAAAATGAATATGCATCATCGAGGAGTTGAAGTATATAAAGACAAGGCTCCTGCTTGCTTGGAGCTCATCTCCAATCAACAGCGATAACAATGGTGTCATTCTTCATCACACTATCAGCTCTTCCTGTCTTCTTCTTCTTCCTTCTTTTCAAATTTAGAAGCTTTCTTTCAAAAACCCTCCACCGTCTACCACCCGGACCTCCCGGGCTCCCTATAATCGGAAACCTGCACCAGCTCGATACATCCGACCTTGCAGACCACCTATGGCGTCTCTCAAAACGTTATGGCCCCTTAATGTCCCTGCGCCTTGGTTTCATTCAGACCCTCGTTGTGTCTTCTGCTGACATGGCTAAAGAAGTTTTGAAAACGAAAGATTTGGTTTTTTGCACGAGGCCTGTATTGACAGGTCAGAAAAAGATGTCGTACAGCAATAAAGATGTAGCTTGGTCACCATACAGTGAGTACTGGAGAGAAATAAGAAAGATATGTATCATTCATTTGTTTTCTTCGAAACAAGTGAACTCGTTTCGTTCGGTTCGTGAAGAAGAAGTTTTCGCCATGATTGATACTATAAAGACACGAATTTCAATCAAAAAAGAAGTGAATCTGAGTGAGACTATGATGATTCTGACGAGTAATATTATTTCGAGGGTGGCTTTTGGCAAGAGGCCGTATGTTTATGATGACGGACAGCAAGAAGTGAGACGATTCCAGGAGCTTTTATTAGAGTGTCAAGCTTTGCTTGTTAACTTTTATTACAGAGATTATTTTCCTCTGATGGGGTGGCTTGATAATCTTAATGGAAGCATTCCTAGACTCGAAAAGAATTTCAAAGAAATGGATGAGTATTATCAAGAAATCATTGATGAGCATATGAATCGAAACAGACCAAACAAAATGCAAGAAGATATGGTTGATATCTTGCTTCGTGTCAAAGAAGACTCAGATTCCTATATCGATCTCACTTTTGATAATATCAAAGGTGTCCTTATGGTGCGTATTTCAATTCTTAATTTCGAATCTATAGCTGTTTCGACTTTCGATAGTAATTAAGCCATAACTTTGTTTGAAATTTGCAGAATATCATGTTAGGGGGAACAGAAACAAGTGCCTCGGGAGTGGTGTGGGCGATGACATTGCTGATGAAGAACCCTGAATGTTTAAAGAAAGTTCAACAAGAAGTGAGGAATGCAATCGGGAACAAAGGGAAAGTAGAGGAATGTGATCTTTATAAGCTCAACTATCTGAAAGCAGTGATAAAAGAGACGCTTAGATTGTACCCAGTTGCACCTCTTTTAGTGGCACGTGAATCGAGAGAAGAATGCGTTTTAGACGGATACGAGATACCAAAGAAGACTCTGGTGTACGTGAACGCTTGGGCAGTGGGGCGAGACCCGAAATGTTGGGAAAGACCCGAAGAGTTTGAGCCAGAGAGGTTTATGGGAAGTAGCGTTGATTACAAAGGAATGGATTTTGAGTTGATTCCATTTGGGTCTGGTCGGAGAGGATGTCCGGGGATGACGATGGGAGCTGTGACGATGGAGTTAAGCTCTGTCGAATCTTGTTTACTCGTTTGACTGGGAGTTACCGGAGGGGACGAAGGAGATTAATACTTTGACAACTCCGGGGACTGTTTCGCATAAGAAGGATGCGCTTCGATTGGTGGGTAAAGTTTACGATCGTGTTCACGGCTGCTGAGTCGGTTAATTGGGATGTTTTCCCGGATAATATGTGATTTTGTTAATCCAGTTTTTCTCGGATGCGATTGAATATATGATCGTTCCAGCATGTTTCATGTTTTTCAATGCAAGATTCCATTTAAATACTAGTCAATAATTACGAGTTTTTTGCAATAATGTGTTGTTTTAGTTTATAATTTGGTGGCACCTCAACAAAGCCCATGATATAAAAAATATGAAAGTAACTAATCTAAGCATACTAGAAATCTAGTATGAATTGGAAGATGACTAAAAAATTTGTGAACTATATATATACTAGTGCATAAAATGAGACATTCTATTGAAAAACATTAACGTTAAATACTTCCAATGATACATTTTGGACATAAATGAAGAGATTTTATTTGGAAAAACCAAAAAATTATTTCAAAATTTAAAGATTAAATACAAAATAAAGTATTCGAAAGTAAATGATCATTTTTTAAAAACTAGAAAAAATTCTTTTTTAAAAAAGTGGACAACCAACTTTATAAAATATAAAATTGAGACCTTAATCTACATGGTTTTTGCTATTTTTATTTTTCTTATTTAATTTTTTTCTTTAATCTTTATTACATATTATCAGTGTTGTAAAATTCTCGATTAGGTCCTGATTAATTTTCGATTAGTCCTTAAGCGTACCCGACCGATTAGAAGACGATTTGCGATTAATCCATGCTTATACAATGAGTGAAGCAGTACCAAACGATCAAATTTTAACATTGTGAAAAAGTTTCAACTCAGTAGAAACTATTTGAAGAATTATTAGTGTTGTATTAATTATATTAACCTTTTTTTTATGATATTAGTGATATTTACGAACTTTATTATGACATTAGTCATATTTAATATTTTAAAATTCAAAGAATTAGCAATTTAGGGTCCCCGATTAACCCGGTCCACCGACTAGCTAACGCCAAACGTTTTTTTACGACCTTACATATTATATAAACATTTATTTATTAAAAATATATAATATATAATTGAAACCTATATTTCACCTAAACAAATTATATCATTACAAAAATTTCCTCATCGCCTTCAAACAACATGTTTATATTAGCCCCTTTCTATAGAAAGATCCAGTATCTCCATTTGAGAACATGGTTTATAGAAAAAGGCTACTAAATTATCTACATCCTTCTGCGTAATGAGTAAGGAGAGCATGTTTTGGCATCCAATCTAGAATGGTGACAAGGAGCGGCAATGAACCGACTCCCCATCGCCCTCGACCCGCCAGATTGACAATGATTTGTGATGATGACAGCAACGATCGTCGACAACTTGGATGTGTAGAATAAATGATCCAGTTCAAACTGATTGAGATACACTAAATTGGATCGATTTCAAAATCTAATATCTAAATTGGATAGACTTTTTGCATAACAAACCTGATCAAATAAAAAATATACAAATTGTTCTAATACAATTAGATATCCAATTGTTATCCAACTGAATTGTAACATTCGATTTTAGGTACTTCTTCCTTGGTCCTTTAAGTTTGAAAAATTATGCAAAAATGGTCCCTCGTACTGTAACGTCTGGTTTCTGGTATGTATTTAACTTATAATTATTCACATTTGTATAGAAAATCAACGAGTTGGAGGCCCCAAACTCGTCGAGTAGAGATGAATTGGACCGCAGGTTTTGGAAACCTACTTGACGAGTTGGGAACTTAGAAGCCTCAACTTGACGAGTAGGCTGGTAGAAATGAAACCCCAATTCTAGGGTTTTGCACCCTATTTGAACACCTTAACCCCAAGGTGTTGACCTCATCTCTAGCCTCCACTGTCCAAAACCCTAGTCTCGAAACCCTAAGCCATTTTTGGTGATTGTAAGCTAATCTTGTGCGTTCTTGGTGAGTTTGAAGAAGAAGAAGAAGCTTGAAAGAGGAGCAAGAACGTGTAGGAGGAGAGGAGATCCAGGAGTTGGGCTTCATTTCTGATTCATCTGAGGTATAAAGCTTCAATCTTGTCCATGGCATGCTTAGATCTAGTTTTAGGATGCTTTCTTTCATGTTTTGGTCCAAGTATATAGATAGTTGGGATTTGGACGTCCCATTTGGGCAAACCCTTCAGATCTAGGGTCTTGAGGGGACTTCATGGCATAAAGGTGCCAACTTTATGGCCATGGAAGTCCCATGCAACCTTTAGACCATCATTTTGGTCTTTTAAGCCCTATTAGGTCATGCATGCAAGTAAAGATGGGAGCTTTACGTGACCAATTTGTCCCTTGAGTCAAGATCTATGACCTCATGGTCTATCTTGAAGTTTTGATGGCTTTTGGAGTTGGATCTAAGCCATTTTGGGTTAGGGTTTGAGTTTTATGCGTTGGGGAGAGGTCCCTAATGGGTAAAGTTGGAAACTTTACCCTTCTAGACGTATTTTCAGCTTGGATCCAGAGGATAGGGTCTTGGTTTGAAGAACAGGGACTTAATGCATTAAGAAGGTTGACAGACAGAGGAACTCGACGAGTTCATAAGAGAACTCAACGAGTTGTTCTGGAAGTGTCCCGACTCTATTGGGAAAAGAGGAACTCGACGAGTTGTAGGAAAAACTCGACGAGTTGGATCGTGATATCACGATTATGTGATTTATGGAAACTCGACGAGTTGAAGAGTAACTCGGCGAGTTGAGTCAACTCGGAATGTTGACTTTGACTTTGACCTGGGTGTTGACTTTGACTTTTACTTTGACCAAGTTGACCCTTAAGGGGTTATGAGCATGGAAAGGTACTTAAGGAAATCTTTTATATTTAGGGGATTGATTTGGATTGATATTCGGAGCTGGGGACCGTTCAGCTACTTTCCAGTATTCGAGGTGAGTTACCTTCCCGATAGCAGTGGGTCTAAGGCACCAAGGCCAACCCACTAGTAGGAGTTTGTAGTTAGATGATTATCTTTGTGATAATTGTCTGATATGTCACTATCTGTTATGATTTATGTGCTAGTATGCTATGATATTTTGTGGTAGTGGCAGGGGTGAAATAGACCCCGTATCCAGTTGATAAGACCGAAGGGGTAGGTCGGGCACCCAGGTATGCCTGATAGGGGTAGGCCGGGCACCCCGGTATGTCTGACATGGGTAGGTTAAGCACCCAGGAATGCTCAGTAGGGTAGGTCGGGCACCCAGATATGTCTGACATTATGTTTATTGTATGGTATGTGGTATGATGGGGGAACTCACTAAGCTTCGTGCTTACGGTTTACAGTTTTGGTTTCAGGTACTTCTTCTTCGAAAGGAAATGAGCCGGCATGATTGCAGCGCATCACATTATGATTTTCCGCATATGAGATCTTTGGAAGTTGTACTTTGTCATTATTTTACTATGACATGTTTTGGCACTTATGTTTGTTTATGAGACGAGATGATATGGTCGATGTTTTTAGATTACTATTTTTATACATTACCTAATTTAAAATGAAATTTTTAGCTATGAATTTTGGGTCGTTACAAGTTGGTATCAAAGCCTTGGTTTGAGGGATTCAGACACACTTTCAGGGGTGTCTGGACTCAAATCGAGTGTTTGAAAGGTTTTTACAAGAAAAAAAATAATTTTTCTAAAATTTAAAATGAAGGGTTTGGGAAAGAACAAGGAGTGTGATGCGTGCAATAGGCCGAGCTCAAGTAAGTTTCCCCAAGATACCATTCATGTCTGCAATGATATATGATATGATTATGAGAATTGCATGCTAGATTAGGGCTAAGGATCTAGGAAGGATGCCTTGTATGCCTACTATATGTGTATGAGAATTGCATGATAGATTAGGGCTAAGGATCTAGGAAGGATGCCTGGTATGCCTACTGTATGTGCTTATTGAACTTCATGCTAGTACTGATTAGTCAGTGATACGATGGCCTGATTAGGATATGCTTGGTTTTGGTTACTCAATTCTCGAATGCTGCTTGCTTTGTGCTATTAGGAGTTCTAGTTATCTCTAACTAACTAGAAAACAAATACTCTAAGTTACATTTTACGAGGACTAAATAATTTCAGAAGGTTAGGTTTAGCCCTATTACGCAGCTCTCGTCTGAGTCTAACCGTTGTAGGGAGAGACCTCTCATTCGAAGAATTATCTGTTCTTAGTAATATGTAATGGTATCCGTGAGCTAGTTGTAACCCCCCGTTTAGTAGATAAATAAATAGATAAAGATTTATAAAAAGAATAATAGCTTAAATGTGAAATAATGTAGCAAGGAGTTAGTTTTGGAGTTAAGATGTAATTTCCGGACTAATTTGTGAAGAATTTTGATAGTTGGGGGTTGTTTAGTAAGTTACGGAGTTGTTTTGAGAAGAAATTTAGAAGCAAGGGTATGTTTGGTAATTATCGGGTTAAAATTGAGAAGATTTTATGGGCCAGGGGCTAAAGTGTAAGTTTTGGGCTTGATTTGAAAGGGATTTAAGAGGGCAGGGTCGAATTGGTAAATTATGGACTAGGTTTGAAAACAAATCTGGAAGTGAGGGGCCGTTAGTGTCATTATGGGATTAACTTTTGAGACACGGGTATATAAAGTTACCACCCCCGAAACCCTAACCCTACTCTCGGATGAAGTAGCCACCACCACCTTGTGACTCCTTAGCCACCATCTCCCTCTCCTCCTTCTTTTCTGATCTGACCAGGTCACCATCCACTGCCGGCGACGCTGTGAGCGACAAGGACCACCGAGACCGGATTTTGAGCTGTGAACGGCTTGTGCGGGCTGTGAACGATCGGAATAGCGCTGGACATAGTGACTCTCAGCGTTGTTGTACCCGCTCGTTGTTCTTCTTCATTCTTCTCCGGTTGTAGCTAACAGACGTTCGCCTTGCTGCAGCCGCCGTCACTTAGTTCTTCTCCCACCGTTCCATTCGTCATCTGCCAACCCGAAAAGGCTGTTTTGGCGTGCTTCAGCTCGTGGGTCGCAAGCTGGGGTGGGATGTGGTTGTTGTTCGATTGTGAAGGCTTGTTTGGCCAGTGAAAACCCGTGAAGAACCACCATGGTGGTTGCCGCCGTCAACGCCGCTGCTGCCGTTTTTTCGGTGCCATTACAG